AGATGGATTTCAGGCAGCGAGGAGGTGGGAAGGCGGTGGGAGGGCCGCCCTGGCCGCTGAGGCAGCTAGCTGTGTGACTCTCACCTGCAGACGGGGGAGGGGGGGGCGGGGGAGGAACCCTGGTGCCTGCGGATAGTTCTCCGCTGCACGTCAGGTGCTCCTCCACTGCGGGCTCTTTCTCCGCAGCAATAAGAGCAGGCCGTACGCCAGGTGCCCGCGCCCATGTGAACGTGCCTTGGGGGCTCCCCAGATGAACTGAATGAACTAACATAGGCACTTAGAACCGTGCCTGGTGTCATCAACACCGCGAAAGCATCTGCTGTATCACTGCTAACAGTCTCCCTGCCAGGAGCCCCAGTCCGTGCTGGCCGTGGGTCACCCCGCCCCCCACTTTGGGGGCAGGTGTCAGTTGGTACGTACAGGACAGCCCACTGGGTCAGAACAGACCGTGCCGCTCCCGGTGGTTCACTCCCGGTGTTAAATATTCAGATGAACTGTGTGAAATGGCTTATTTCTCATTCAAAAGCGGCTGAATGTCAGCACTTATCCGGTTCAGGTGGCTGCTCTGGCCGTTGCCCCGAGTGCAGGAGAACTTGAGCTCATTGCGTGCCCAGCCTAAGCAGACACATGCCTGCCTCCAAGGGACTTGCTGAAACCCAAGGACAGATGGGAGCCCCGAGCTGACTGGCTGTCTGTCTCTCTGATGCCTACAGGCCCTGATCCTTCATCAGCTGCGCCGCTACAGCCTCGCGGAGAAGATTCTCCGGGACGCGGTGCAGGTGAACTCCACGGCCCACGAGGTCTGGAACGGGCTGGGCGAGGTCCTCCAGGCTCAGGGCAATGACACAGCCGCCACCGAGTGCTTCCTGATGGCCTTGGAGCTGGAGGCCAGCAGCCCCGCGGTGCCCTTCACCATCATCCCCCGGGTGCTCTGAGCAGGCGCCCGGCAGCCTCGCAGCCGCTCAGGCCCGGAGGCCCCACCTGGGGGGACAAGTCTGCCACACCGAGGCCCTGGGTGGACGTGCGACTGGCCACAGTGATCTGACCAGACGACCCCGCATCATCGCTCTCCCGCGTGCACGCCTGTGGCCTCGGCCGCCCAATGACCGTTTCTGAATCTACTGACGTTGCTCAACATGGATTATGTGCCATATCTTGTTAGTTGACATCTGAGTTTTAAGTAACATGGTTATGGAAATAATCCGCAAATGTAGAAGAATATACTCAAAGTTAAAATTCCGTGGCAGCACAGATTATTTTTATCAGAGCTGTAAAGAAAGCTGTTCTCTCCTCCTCGCCCCCCTGCCCCACCCCTGGCCCAGAAACCAAATGTGAATCTTCTTTTCCCACCTCAAGCCAGGACTCCGGCCAACGACTTCTTGGTTTTGTTGTCGATACTTGTACCATGTGATGAATTACTGTCCTCACTTAGAACAAAGCCTGAGTCCAAGAATATTTATATTTTGCCAATATATGCCTGTTACAAGAGAAGGAAATATGAGTTATTTAAGTTTAACTTTTTTATGTGAATTCAGAGTTTATTTATCAATGGAAAGATGTACAAAGAAGCTTCAAATGGAATATTTACCGACATTCCTTATACATGACAGACACTTGGCTAAATGGGAAGATGATGTTAATAATAAAAAGATTTTTAAATGGACCCATTGCCTATGTCGTTAAGTGAATGCACACAGAAGCTTAAGGCTCAGTTCCCGGGGTGGGTGGGGAGCTGTCTGCACCTGGGGGCCACCCTGATTTTAGTGTGGGAATTCACCTTTCCCAACTCTCCCCATTTATCTGGGATTGGAGCATGTGACTCAGGTCTGGCCAATCAACATCCGGCATTCACAGCCACAGAGGATCAGGAATGAGCATGTGACCTGAAGTGGTCCAATCAGAGTGGGAGCTGCAACGAAAGGCTCTCACTCTTCTGCTGAACTTAAACCTGAGCAGAGAAGCTAGAATCGCAGCGGCCCTCCAGCCACCATGAGGGTGTGGGATGGGGAAAGGGGGAGGGGAGGGTGTAGAAGTGTTGGGGCCAAATGTGAAGCCAGGGACTGAATCCAACAGAGTGGATAGCAAAGACCAAGAACCAGAAACAACGTGAGCAAGCCTCTCCAACCCCCGGGGTTTCCTGGCTGAGCATCTATAGGTGGCCCTACCTTGCCAGGACCCAGGAAAATGTGGAGGGCACCCAAGCACTGGTCTTATACACCCTAAAGTCTTAAGGACCCCACCCAAGCTAGGCATAACCTCCCTGGCTCATTGGGCCGGCAGGCAAGGGGGCAAGCTGAGGTGGGGAGAGACCGCAGACAGGAATCTGCTATGGGCAGAGCAGACAGGCACCCCAGGCTCAGCACTGACCTGCCAGGTGGCATCTGGGGCCCCATAAGTCATGGAATTTGCAACATGAGACAAGAAAGCAGGTGTTCAGTGGGGCAGCAGCTCACCTACTGGAGGGTCGAGCCCAGCCCTGCCATCCTATGCAGAGGTTTGGGGCAAGCAGGGCCAGCGCAGATGAGGACCTGGAAAGCAGGATCCAACGGTCCTTGCAGGTAGAGCCAGTGAACCTTGGGGGTTCTCCTTCCAAGGCTCCCACCTCTCAGGCAGCTAGAGAGCAAGCTGAGGGTGAGGGTGGTGAGTTAGAGAAGACCAGGGAGGGGAGGAGGAAGGAAGGAGAGGAGGGGAGAGAGGAGGCCCTTCTTTAAAGAGTGCCAGCCCCTCCCAGCAGAGAAGGACCTTGGGGACAGGGCCACGTTGGGCCTGGATGGGGAGGGGTGTGGGTCCCAGGCTCACTCACTGGAGTTGGGGAAGGATGTGAGCTCAGCCCCCCCCACCAGGTGGGACCAAGGTCTCTGTCCCCTGTGCTCCTGACCTGTCTTCATGGCCTAGAGGGCACACATGTGCCCATGTCTGACCACATGGAACAGCATGACTCCTCCAGATGGTCACTCGGATCTCCTCTGTGGTCATGCAGTCAGCCTCAGATGCCCCATCCCATCTGCCCACAGGAAGTCCAGCCCTTAGCCAGGTACCTACTCCACATTCTCTCTATGTCCACCCTCCACCCTGTCCATGTGGGGCACCAGCCAGGGCCCCAGCCCTGTGGTCCCTCCCCAGCTCACCCCAGCACGGCGAGTACTGGCTAGGGTGGGCAGCACGCCTCGGCTGAAGGCCAATCCATGCCCCGCTGGCTCCCTCTTCCATACCTCCCTGCCCACCCCATCCCCCAGCCCCCCAGGGAGTCCTCTCACTGCTTTTCTTCTCTCCCCTTGCTCTCCCTCCCCCTCTCCTCTCCCCACACCTCTCATGGCCCGCAGGGTAGGCTTGTCCAATTCAGGGACCAATCGCGTTGGAGAATTGTGACTAGTGCTCTCAGGCCTTGTGCAAGGTGGTCACATGGTGACCCAGCAGCTCTTAGCATTCCTTGCACCTCTTCCTCCTTCCCCACCGCCTCTGTTTCCTCTCCCTGTCCTTACTCGAAAAGCACCCCACACCTGACCGAAAGCTCCTGAGAACCTTGTGGGGCCTGCTCGGGGAGTCAGGCAGTGGGCAGGCCATACTGAGCCGGAGAACCCACGTGCATTCCCCCCCCCACACACACACACACAAGCCACAGGCTGGTCCTCGGGGGCTGACCCTCTGAGCTCCCGTTCCTGCCACCAGCCTTCCTCTCCTCCCACTCTCTGTCACTCATTTCCTACTGCCCCGCCCACACTGCAGCCAGATGGGACCAGGAAAAGGACATCCTGTGAATGTCTCAGACAGGCGAAGACGTCCTCTGGAAGGCCTTTGGGGGCCAGGCTGAGGCCCCCTCCTCAAGGCCATCCCCTGGGATACCCGTTCCAGCTCTGCACCTGCCTGGGGGCGACCCTGATTGAGTCACCATCCCTCTCTGCATCTCAGGGTCCTACGAGGACAGGCAGCCCTGCCCAGCCTGCCTTCCGGACTGAGACTGAGTCAGCAGGCAGCTGGAGGGATCCTGGGGTGCAGCCAGGGGCCACCACCCCCAGGGCCACCATGTGTGGCCTCAGAGCCAGGCTACAGCAGGACCCCCCTGGAGGCTCAGGCCGAGTGGGGCTCCCTGCAGGAGGTGGCAGGCCGGTTGCAGGGCGCCTTCTGCAGGTCTGCCTGGAGCCAGGAGCTCCAGATGGTGATCTGGGCTGCCCGCAGCCTCCCCGGCCCTGCCTGCCTCCCCCGTCTTCTGCTGGGTGACCCCTGACCCCTGCGGACAATAGGGTTTCCTGGTGACCACTGCGCTGTGGGTCACACCGATCTGGCTGTAATCCAGCCCTGCCTGGTCACGTCGCCTCCAGTGAGAAAGGGCCTCCAGCTCTGGCTCTCTGGGGGGGACACTTCCAGGGCTGTTGGGCACGTTGCTATAATGAAGCCCGGTGCCTGGGCCTGGGGGTACCCTGCAAGGTCGTGCTGCTTTCTCCCCTGCCCAGCACAGGGCGAGGGGTGAGCGGCCAGGGGCACACACGGAGCTCTGGCGCAGGGCAGGAGGGGACGAGCTGGCTCTCTTCTCCCTCTGCCCACGCAGAGCTATTTGCAGCCGAGCTGGAGGCCAGGCGGTGACTCCCACTGCACTTCATTGTTGCGCTCCTGCAGGGCCCCTCCCGTGGAGGAGGAGGTGAGGGCCCTAGGTGGGTCCTGCCCTGTCCACAGTGCCAGCTGGTGGCCTCTCCTCTCCTTTGCCTTCTGGGCCTCACAGGGTTGTCCTCAGGCCCTGAGTCCAGCGTGAGGAGGGAGGTGAGAGGCAGCCCTGCCCCCATGCGCTGTGGGCGGCTCACAGCTGGCTGTTGGGCCTCCTGGCCTGGTGAGCATTGGCCTTCGGACTGAAGGGTCCCAGGTTTGATTCCAGTCAAGGGCACATGCCTGGGTTTCGTGCTCGATCCCCAGTAGGGGGCGTGCAGGAGGCAGCCAATCAATGATTCTCTCTCATCATTGATGTTTCTATCTCTCCCTCTCCCTTCCTCTCTGAAATCAATAAAAATATATTTTAAAAAAAAGATTCAGAGCGAGTAAGACACAAACAGTGCTCACTCGGCAGCGCGTGCTCGGCAGGGGCGCCCGTCCTGGCGTTACTTGGCTCCCTGGTGTTTATAGTTACCTTCAGGCCAGAGCCAGCCTTACCCTCCCCAATGATTCTCTCTCATCATTGATGTTTCTATCTCTCTCTCCCTCTCCCTTCCTCTCTGAAATCAATAAAAATATATTTTAAAAAAAAGACTCAGAGCGGGTAAGACACAAACAGTGCTCACTCGGCAGCGCGTGCTTGGCAGGGGCGCCCGTCCTGGCGTTACTTGACTCCCTGGTGTTTATAGTTACCTTCAGACCAGAGCCAGCCTTACCCTCCCTCGCAGCACCCAGGAAGGTACAGCCCAGGAAGGCGGACCCCCTCCTCAATGCCCCTGAGGCTTCCTGGGCACCCTGCCTGGCGTGGAGCCCAGCAGGAACTGGGCCTTCCTCCTTCTGTGAGTGACCCTGTGTCGAGCACCCCCTGTGGCCAGACAAAGGGCCCCTGGCCTTGGGAGCTGCAGGGGAGACCGGGCCGGGGAGACAGCAGCAGAGGTGGAAATAAATCACGACCGGGTAGGTGGAGCCCCTGGAGAAGCTTGAAGTGGTGAGTGGGGGACGCCTGTGGGTCGGAAGAGCGTTCTCTAAGCTGAAAATAAGAAACAACTCTGTCCTCTCGAAGTTGTTGTTTTTGTTCATATGGTTGTTCAAAGGCAACTAAGTCAGTATTTACAAATATTTTCATTTAGCCAACAGCAGCCTTAAGAACAATAAAATTAAATCAGAAAAATTAAATAGCCCCTGTATGGAAATGAAGCTAGTTTACCCACAACTCTGCCTTTTTTTAAATATGTTTTTATTTCAGAGAGAGGAAGGGAGAGTGAGAGAGATATATAGAAACATCAATGATGAGAGAGACTCATTGATCGGCTGCCTCCTGCAGGCCCCACACTGGGGATCAAGCCCACAACCCAGGCATGTGCCCTGACTGGGAATTGAACCGTGACCTCCTGGTTCATAGGTCGACGCTCAACCACTGAGCCACGCCAGCCGGGCCACAACTCTGCCTTTTAAAACAAAAAATTAGCAGCGTTTTCTTTTCTTTTGTGACCACAGCATTCACACCCACTGTGTTAGTTTCCTGTGGCTGCTGTAACAAATTGCCACGATCTTAGTGGCTTAAAACAACACACCTCAGTTAGCTTGGAGTCTGGGGCCAGGATTCTGACAGGTCTCAGAAGGTGTCAGAGGCCTGCGTTCCTTTGGCGGGGGCGGGGAGGGGGGAGGG